TTAAAATTTCATTGCACCCACCTTTCAAAGGGGTTTAACTTAGTGGTGCTCTTGGTTCTTCCAGCAGCTCCCAGCTTCACACAAGCACATTCCCCTTGCCCTTAGTACTATAATGGGGGGGGGGGGGGCAAGCAGTGGGTGACAGGGAGTGTTTGCCTTCCTTCTTAGATTACAGGTGCTTTGGAAATGTTCCTGACTCACAGAACTGCCCTGTCCTTGTGATTTGAGACAGGGTTTCTCTGTGTAGCTTTGCGCCTTTCCTGGAACTCACTCTGTAGCCCAGGCAGGCCTCGAACTCACAGAGATCCGCCTGCCTCTGCCTCCTGAGTGCTGGGATTAAAGGCGTGCACCACCACCGCCCGGCTGCTGCTGGGTTTTATAGGAACACATCTCCCATTGCAATAACAGCCAAGATGGCTTTCTAAGACACCCTCCTTTGTTTCTTACTCATCACACTGTTCACACTTTTGTCTCTTTGTAAGTTTCTTAAAGCTGGAAGTAGAATTTCATTTTACCCCTTTCCCTAATTTCAGAGTTAAGCATGTATGTTGATTAAGAATAATTCACACGGGCCAGAGACATGGCTCAGCAGTTAAGATTGGTTCCTGCTCTTCCAGAGGACCAGAGTTCTGCTCCCAGCAGCTTATCAGAGTGCTTAAAACCACCTGTAACTCCAGCTCTAGGTGATCTGACCTGTTCTGGCCTCAAGGAGCACCTATTATAGCTGGTATGGCACACAGGCACATGCATATAAATACAAACAAATCTTTGTTTGTTTTTTGTTTGTGCAGCCCTGGCTGTCCTAAAACTCGCTTTGTAGACCAGGCTGGCCTTGAACTCAGAGATCTGACTGCCTCTGCCTCCCTAGTGCTGAGACACCACCACCTGGCAAAATAATCTTAAAAAAGGAATAATGTATGGGGCTGATGGGATGACTCAGCAGGTAAATAAAAGCTCTTGCCACCAAGCCTGGTGGTCTGAGTTCAATCCCTGGGACCTACATGGTGTAGTGAGAGGATCTACCCCATAGAATTGTCCTCTTACTAACAAACACAGACAGAAACATTAACCCACACACAGGATATATAATTTCAGAAAAATTTTAATAGTATGTGAGGTGGCTCAGTGGGTAACAGCACTTGCCAAGAGAGGACTGGTGACCCGAGTTAGCTCCCTGAAACTCATGTGACAAAGCTGGATCCAGTAGTTCACACCTGTAATCCTAGTACTCCTAAGTGACTGGACTACAAGGCACAGCAAAAATAAGAGAGACCTTGGCCCGGTAGGGTGGAAAGAGAAAACCAACTTCTATGAGTTGTCCTCTGACCTCTGCACACATATACAGTAATAATACAAATAAATAGATTAGGCTTGGCACATGCCTTCAATGCCAGTACTTGGGTGGCAGGACCAACTGGATCTATATGATTTTGAGGCCAACCTGGTCTACATAGTGAGTTTCTGGCCAGCTAGGACTACATAGTGAAGACCCTGTCTCAAAACAAATATTTAAAAAAATTGGGACTGGAGAGATGGCTCAGCAGTTAAGAGCACTGGTTGCTCTTCCAGCAGTCCTGAGTTCAATTCCCAGCAACCACTTGGTGGCTCACAACCATCTGTAATGAGATCTGTCATGTAGGCAGAACACTGTATACATAATAAATAAATCTTAAAAAAAATATTTTAAAAATATATGTAAAGTCAGGCATGTTGGCTCATGCTTCTAATCTCAGTACTCAGGAAACTAAGGCAGAAGATTCTAAAGAGTAAGTGACACTTTCTGAACACTTCTTGTCAACCATGGTTTCAATGGGGTAACAAGTAAAAGCCGTTTTGGCAGGTGCACCTTGGTCTTTGGTTGGCTAAACATTAGCAGTGGAGTTTTCTGCCCTCTGTGATCTAGGCCGATCTTCTTAGCAACAGATTCTTTTCTGTGTCAGCGGTTCTGCTATGTAAATGGTCCTTGGAGCTTTCTCAACAGGAAGTACTGAGCAGATTTCTGAACAATTTCACAATTGCTGTCTTCACCGAAAATCATCTTGAATTAGATCAGTGAGGACAGACCAGAATAGGAGCAGTTCTTTGTGAAGAGAAGCTGTAAGGTAGCATTGCTGTACAGTCATAACCAAAATAGTCTCGTGCCAATACTGTGATACACATTTAAAATCCCAGCACTTGGAAGGCCGAGGCAGGAAAGCATAGGCTCAAGCCTACTCTGAGCTGTATCACATACCCTGTTTCAAAAAACAGTCACTGGGGGGTGGGATGGCTCAGTGGACAGCCTAGCACCTGAGTTTGGCCCCTGGAGCCCACATAAAGCTGGAAGGCAAGAACTGACTCTGCCTTTGTCCCCTGATTACAATCATGCATCATGCACATACACAATACTCTTTTTTTAAAAAACCAGCCAGCAGTGGTGGCTCCAGTTTCTTTCCTTTCCCTTTCTTTCTTTTTTTCCCAGACAGGGTTTCTCCGTGTAGGTTTTTTGTTGTTGTTGTTGTTGTTGTTGCCTGTCCTGGATCTCACTCTGTAGACCAGGCTGTCCTCGAACTCACAGAGATCTGCCTGGCTCTGCCTCCCAAGTGCTGGGATTAAAGGCATTAACCACCATTGCCTGCAATTTATTTATTTATTTTATTTATTTATTTTTCCGGTTTTTCGAGACAGGGTTTCTTTGTGTAGCTTTGAGCCTTTCCTGGAACTCCCTGGAGACCAGGCTGGCCTCGAACTCACAGAGATTTGCCTGGCTCTGCCTCCCGAGTGCTGGGATTAAAGGCGTGCGCCACCACCGCCTGGCCAATTTTTTCTTTTTTTTTTTTAAATAAGTAAGAATTAATTAAGCTTCCAAAAATCATCTCTGTAGGCCCATCCTTAGAACCGTTGAGTTAATGTTGCAGTTTTCCTGAAGAGTGTTTACGTAGGTAGACTATGTAAGCCCTCTAAACTGCATCCCTAGACTCTGTTTCTTTTGAGCTGATGTGTCTTCACTTACTATTCTTGAATTGTAGACTCAGTAAAAATGTGCTCTGTATTATGACATACACATAGTTGTCATGAATTTTTTTTCATTTATTTATTTTGTTTGTTTGTTTGTTTTTGGAGGCAGGGTTTCTCTGTGTAGCCCTGGCAGTCCAGGAACTCGCTTTGTAGACTTGGCTGGCCTTGAACTCACAGAGATCTGCCTGCCTCTGCCTCCCAAGTACTGGGATTAAAGGTGTACACTACCACCACCCAACTGTGGCATATCTCTCAGATCATTGATTGAGCAGAAATTGATGGAGGGTTAGAGGTGCAGTTATGTATTCCAGGCTGTTCCCCACCTTCCCATATAGCTGAGGATAACATTGAACATCTGATCTTTGTGCCTGTACTTTCCAGAGTGTTAGAATTATGGTCGTGTACCACCATACCAGTTTATGTGGTACTGGGTATCAAACTCAGGGCTTAATGCAGTTCTAGATTAACACTCTCCCAATAAAGCCATCTCCTTAGTTCCAGTTTTCATGTTTTTGTGATAGGATCTCATGTACTAGGCTGCCCTTAAACTCATATGCATCTTAAATTGACCTTGGAACTCCTGATCTTCCTTTCTCCAAAGAATAGATTGAGGAACTCGGGGAGGGGAAGATTGTGAGACAGGGTTTCTCTTTGTAACTTTGGCTGTCCTAGATCTCGCTCTGTAGACCAGGCTGGCCTTAAAGTCACAGAGATCCACCTGCCTCTGCCTCGCCCCACCCCCACCCCCAGCACTGGGATTAAAGGTGTGCATGCACCACTACTGCCTGGCTACTTTTTGTTTTTAAAGTATGGTCTTGAGATGAAGATATATTGCTCTTAAAGAGGACCCTAGTTGAGTTTCCAGCATTCACACCAGGAGTTCACAACTACCTCTAACTCCAGTTACAGGGTATCCAATATCCAAATCCCTCTTCTGAACTCTATAGGTACCTGCGTGCACATACCTCCACACAGACACACATTCATACTTAAATCTTTGGGTCTGAGGAGACTCTGAATAGGAGCATTTGCTGCTCTTGCAGAGGATCTGGGTTCAGTTCCTTACACCCACATGTCATCACACAAAGCCATCTGTAATTCAAATCCAGGGAACCTGATGCCATCTTTGGAATTGTACATTGTAGTGATGGTGATGTATGAGCTTAGAGTAGGTTCCGAGTTTTTCTCATCTCATGGGAAGCAGTTGCATGGATGGACCTATTAAAAAGGACAGCTTGAGGCCAGGGCACGTGCCTTTAATCCCAGCAGTTGATAGACAAAGACAGATGGCTCTCTGGGAGCCTGGTCTACAAAGTGAGTTCCACATCAGCCAAGGCTACACAGACCATGTTTCAAAATAACAACAACAAAAATAAGCCATGGTGGTGCATGCCTTTAATCCAAGCACTTCGCAGGCAGAGGCAGGCGGATTTGTTACACGGAAAAACCCTGTCTCAAATCCCCCATCCCCACAAAAAAGAGAGCTTGCTGTTATTTCCTGAGGTTGTAGAGTATATTTGGTTACTTTATTTATGGGATAGCAGCAGAACACTGGGAGAATGACCAACAAGTGCGTGTGTTGTACTATCTTGGCGAACCCAGTGGCCTGGCCTGTCATTGCTGTCTTTTTTCCTTCTACTCCCCATGGTGAGGGGCATCTTCCTTTCCAGAGGATGCTTATTTTATTTATTTTATATGTATAGGTGTTAGTCTGCATGGATATCTGTGCATCATGTGGGTGCCAAGTGCCCAAGGAGTCAAGAAAATGGGCATTAGACCCCTGAGACTGGAGTTAGAGTTGTGAGGCTACCATTTGGGTGCTGGGAATGGAACCTGGGTCCTCTGGAAGAGGATGTTCAGTGTTAAAGGGTGATACCTGTTTGCACTGTGAAGAAAGGGTTTTGTATCCAATATTAACTAGATATGTATGAGAAATACATAAAAATCTGTTTCATATGCAGTGTAGTATACCTTCAAATGACACTTTGCTCTGTTTTTTCCAGGAGTGAGTCCCTCCCGGCTCCGAATAGGAGATCAAGAATTTGATTCATTGCCTGCTTTACTGGAATTCTACAAAATACACTATTTGGACACTACAACATTGATAGAACCAGTTTCCAGATCCAGGCAGGGTAGTGGAGTGATTCTCAGGCAGGAGGAGGCAGAGTATGTTCGAGCCCTTTTTGACTTTAATGGGAATGATGAAGAAGATCTTCCCTTTAAGAAAGGAGACATCCTGAGAATCCGGGATAAGCCTGAAGAGCAGTGGTGGAATGCAGAGGACAGCGAAGGAAAGAGGGGGATGATTCCAGTCCCTTACGTGGAGAAGTATAGACCTGCCTCCGCCTCAGTATCGGCTCTGATTGGAGGTAACCAGGAGGGTTCCCACCCACAGCCACTGGGTGGGCCGGAGCCTGGGCCCTATGCCCAACCCAGCGTCAACACTCCGCTCCCTAACCTCCAGAATGGGCCCATTTATGCCAGGGTTATCCAGAAGCGAGTCCCTAATGCCTACGACAAGACAGCCTTGGCTTTGGAGGTACATAATGTGCAAAATGTAGAAAGACGAGATCTGCTACAGGGTCTCCCTTTCAGACCTCTTACAGCTTTGTAGGAATGCTGATGCGGTACCAGCTTTGTGATGTTGTAGATGTCAAACCACTAAATACTGATTTTGACATTTTATGTGGGTTTTCTCTCTTTTAGAGAAAACCTATTTTGCAATGAGTAAACTTAAAACTGTGTAACTGAATGTTCTGATTGATCTACTAAACCTATTTTGACTAATAACCACCTGAATTCATAGGAATTAACATGAAGTAACTTTTCTCACCTATATCCTAACTTCTTTCCTGCTTTCTGTTTGTCACTGTCTACAACAAGATGGGTTCACACAGATTAGAATGTAATAAGTGATATGTAGCAATATACTTAAGTGGGATTTTTTCATAATTTTTTTCTTTCTATTGTGGAGACTGGGTGTCTATGTAGCCCTGGCTATCCTGGAACTCACTTTGTAGATAGGCTGGTTTGAAACTCACAGATAACTACTTGCTTCTGCTTTCCGAATGCTGGGGTTAGAGGTGTGTGCCACCGTGTTCAGTCAAAAGCTGCTTTTATTGTAATGGATAGCTGTACTATTAATTATTTTTGACATGAATCAGGAAAGGCTGAATGCTAGCCTTGAGCAGGCCCTGGGTTTAGTGTGTCACACACACACACACACACACACACACACACACACACACACACACACACACAGAATAGGGAGGAAATAGTGGTGTGCAGATGTGAATTGAGCCATAAAACTAAGAGAGTGAGTTACAGAAAACAGATTTACTTGTCTTTTTTGCTTAGTGTGTTGGAATGGAGAAGTCAGTTGAGTGACTTTTTTTTTTTTTTTTTTTGAGACAGGGTTTCTCTGTGTAGCTTTGCCCCTTTCCTGGAACTCACTCTGTAGCCCAGGCTGGCCTCGAACTCACAGAGATCCACCTGCCTCTGCCTCCCGAGTGCTGGGATTAAAGGCGTGCGCCACCACTGCCTGGCTTTTTTTTTTCTTCCATCGTAGCCTTTCTTATGACCTGCCATTCATTGCATTTATTCCTTTGTTCCTCTTCAGCACTGTCTCTCACCTGCTTGAATGCAGAGATGGCGCGCTGGCCCATCTTTCAGAGCCTACCATGGATTGACTGAGTAAATAGGTAGCCAGCTCCCATAAGCATGGCCTGGGGTTATGTGAACACAGCAGCAGGGAAGGGGTAAAGTACTCTGGTGATTTGGCTCTTCTCTTTCCTTTGGGTTGTGTTCTTACAGTTGGGGTAGGAACTGTCTGTGAGACTCTTAGTCCACAGAATGAGCAAAAATTGATTTGAACCAGACTCTGACGTTAATGCATTTGATTGATTTTTTTTTTCTTTAAATTTACTCTTCTTATTTGCCAGGTGTGGTGGCGCACACCTTTAATCCCAGCACTTGGGAGGCAGAGGCAGGCGGGTCTCTGTGAGTTCCAGGAAAGTTTTTTTGTTTGTTTGTTTTGTTTTTTGAGACAGGGTTTCTCTGTGTAGCTTTGCGCCTTTTCCTGGAACTCACTTGGTAGCCCAGGCTGGCCTTGAACTCACAGAGATCCGCCTGGCTCTGCCTCCCGAGTGCTGGGATTAAAGGTGTGCGCCACCACCGCCCGGCGAGTTCCAGGAAAGTTAAGGCTACACAGACCGAACCCCTGTCTCAAACCACCCCCCCAAAAAATTATTATATGTGTATGGATATTCTCCTTCCATCTGTCTATATATCATATGCCCACAGTGGCCAGAAGAGTGCATTGAATGCCTTGGTATTGGAAGTTGCAAACTGTCTTGTGGGTGCTGGCACTGGAACTCTGGTCCTTTGGAAGAGCAGGTAGTGCACAGTGCTCTTAACCACTGAGCCATCTCACCAGCCCCGAAATTTTCATTTCTGATCTAGTGGGTGTGTAAATTAAGTTAATTGTGTTTCCTAGGTTTGACTGAAAACTGTATTATTTGTTTATTTATAATTTTTGTTTTTTTGAGGCAGGGTCTCACTATGTAACTCTGGCTGTCCTGAACTCACTAGGCTGGTCTTGAACATACAGAGAGGATGCTAGGAGTAAAGGCATGTGCCACCACCTCCAGCTTTTTAAAAATGTTCTGTTTTGTTGAGATGGGGACTCATTCTAGCCCAGTCTAGCCTGGAGCTCACTGTCTTCCCATTTATGATACTCCTGCAGAAGCCCCCAAGTGTTAGGATTATAGGCATGAATCATCATACTCCTGCTGAAGTTTGTATTTTTTTGAAATTATGTCTTAAAGTTCATGTCTTGGCTTTGAGAAATGGAGTATATGTTATCTAGGTCACACTGCTTGGAAGATAAAGAAAGCAAGTTTTTCAGCTCATGAAGTTGAGGGATGATGCTCACATCTAGCTTGTGTGGGCATGTATCATTGATTATGGATCTTATTAACAGACTGGAGTGGGAAAACAGCATTCCTGGACCAGGTCACTGCATACCCAGAAGAGGATAGTGACTGTGTCAGTTTCACTTCCGTTTTCCACTTCTTTGCCAATTTTAAAAAAAGATTTGTTGATTTTATTCTACCTGTGTGAGTATTTTGCCTGCATGTGTGTATGAGGTTCGAACTGGAGTTACAGATAGTTGTGAGCCATCATATGGGTACCGAGAACTGAATGTTGATCCTCTGCAAGAACAGCACATGCTCTTAGCTGTTGAGCCATTTCTCCAGGCCAGTGAAAGATTATTTCTAAGGATGTCACTTAATTAATAGCATCAATGCTTAAAAAATGGTGGAACTGCTTTCTCTGCTATGAAATACTACAAAAATCTTGGGGGATAAAGATTTGAATTGAAAACTGGTGTGATTTTATAAAATTTCTTTTTAGTTGGTGTTGAGTTATTTATGTTTATTACTAAAAAGGACCTCTTTCAATATAAAACAGATACCCTAAAATGGCTTTAAAACACCTTTCTTACATGTTTGAAGAAATAGCTTAGGCTGTACATGGTGGTACATGCTTTTAATCCCTGAATTTGGATCTCAGTGAGTTCAAGGCTAGTCTGGTCTATATAGTGAGTTCCAGGACAGTCAGAGCTACAAAATTTCTGTCTTAAAAACAAAAACAGTAGGCATATGAGAATTCTTCAGTGGGAAGGAATCTTAACTCTCCTTTGCTGTAGGGAACAAACTCCTAGGCAAACAGGTTGAATCCAGTGTGATGGTAAACCCCAGCATGATGGAGGTGAAGGTAAGAGGATCTCAAGTTTAAGGCCAGCCTGGGCTACATAATCAGACGCTGTCCCTGATTCCAGAAAAGGAGGTAGGGTTGAGTGACATTCAGACTGTTGGAGGCATTAGAGATGTTGAATCCAGAGATACAGTCTCTTTTTGTCTTCCTAACAGCGTTGCAGTCCTCCTTGACACAGATAGATGAGGTCTATTTGTTTGCTTTCAAATAAGTTCATTAGTGGTGGTGGGGGCTAGAGACGTGGCTCATGGGTTAAGATCATTTTTATTTCTTACAGAGGACCTGGGTTCTCCACATCAGGCAGCTCACCGCTCGAAGTCTACTTCCAAGGGGATCTTAAGCTCTTGCAAACACAGAAATGACAACATTTTTTTAAAGATGATTTTTTTCCCCTTTTTAGTTTTTTTTTGGAGGCTGAGTCTCATGCAGCCCAGGTTGGTCGAAAATGCCCAGAGATCCTCCTGGCTCTGCCTCCCAAAATCCAGGATTAAGGTTGTGTGCCACCACACCCAGCCCTCCCTTCGACTTTTGTTGTTGTTGCTGTTTTGTTTTGCTGTTGTTTTTTTTTGAGACAGGGTCGCCTGCCTCTGCCTTCTGAAGGCTGGGATTAAAGTTTGTACCCCCACCCCCACCCCACCCACCCGGCTCCCATCCCTGCTTTTTAAGACAGAGTCTTGGTATGTAAGCCAGACTCTATTTGAGTCCTAGAATGAATGAATGGCCTTGGTGGGGTTTGCGGTTCAATACTAGAGCACTCCTGTAGTGTGCACAAGGCCTTGGTTTTAATCCCTAGCAACACACACACAGAGGACTTTGGAAATAACAAACTCATCTTTCAAATATTAAAAATGTCTTTGGTATCTTCATAATAACTTTTTTTGAGAACCCAAAAACTTTGTATGAGTTTTTAATGTAGCATAGCCTGATCTTAAAGTCAGGTAAAGTCTAGGCTGGCCTTGAACATTATCATCCTGCTTTAGCCTCTTAAATACTTTTTTGTTCTTTATATTATAACTGGTGCTTTTTGTTGTTTCATTAGTAACTTAGGGTCTGGACAAGGATTTACCACTGAGGTGTATCCCTAGCCCCCAAAGCTACGATTACAGACCCCTTTCACTCTGCTTGGGTTCAGTCTTAAGTACATTTATTACATAATGGCTGTTTTCAAAAACAAATGTAATTAAAAGAAGATATTTTTAGTTTAGCATTGAATAACTAATACTTTACCTAGTGAGATGTGTACATCAGTTGGACACCTCCTAGTTTATCATACCTTGCGACCATGTTGAACATTTCCACTCTCATTTCTCACTTTATATTTATATCTGTAAGTTACATACACTTTTTTGAGTAATCAATCAAAATAGTGGGTTTCTTTATGACATTTTTGTACCGTACTCATAGTCACATCCTACTCACCTTTGCTTCCTTGTTTGTTTTATAATTTATTTTTATTTTATGTGCATTGGTGTTTTGCCTTCATGTATTGTATGTCTGTGTGAAGGTGTCAGATCCCCTGGAACCAGAGCTATGGACAGTTGTGAGCTGCCATATGGGTACTGGGAATTGAACCTGGGTTCTCTGGAAGAGCAGCCAGTGCTCTTAACCTCTGAGCCATCTCTCCAGCCCCTGGTTTGTTTAATTTAAAAGAATACATTTATATATTTCTTTTTGGGAATACATACATGTAATAACTTTATACATGTGGGGACTAGAGGACAACTTGGGAGTCAGTTCTCTTCCACCATGTATCCACTACAC